AACTGAATTTTTGATGACGGGCTTTTTAATTCAGAAGTAAAAGGTCTGATTTCACCCATGGTTAGAAATTGAAACTAAAGAAGTTGGGATTAAGAAGCTGCTGCAAATTTTACCAAAGATTAAATTAATCTTTTGATGAGTTTACCAAGATCTGTCATACCTTCTTCATTTACTGCTACTTTTGGAAAGAAATGTTATGCTTTTCAAGACTACATGCTCTAATCAAACAAGAATTATTTAGGAAGGCCAGGTGAGATGCTAATTAACTTTTTTTCTGGATGAAATCCATGAATGTTCAAATATTATTTGGACAGAGGGGACTGAAATCTCCTGCATCATGCCCAAAATTAATTTACTATGAAAACGTTTTCATAAACCTGTAAACTTTACAGCTTTTTTAGAGATACTAGTGATGTTTTCCATTGTTAAGACTGAAATTTAAGGAAGATCAGAAGTCTCAATAGCCACAGTGTGGGACAGACCTGAACAGCTGGAAAACACCTTCCTGTGGGTCCTCTTGGGTGAAGGACCACTTTTGAGCTTCAGCATTTCTCTGAGATGAGCAGAAAGTCCAGGCAGTCTTACCATCAAAGCTTTAACTAATGGGTTATTGCATTTTTTATAAATAATACCAAAACCTCATCTGTTGAATGAAGCTGAAGTAATTCGTTGCATGAAGTCATTGACATACGATGTGCAAAATTTTGGGCAGCGCCCCTGGGTGTAGGCACTAGTTTATATTCTCTGGATGAATTCCCAGTCAAGTGCTATGGTCATGCTAAGCTGAATGCCACCTTGACATTTATCTTAGATTCAAGGCTAATTTATTTTTTAGGGCACTGTTGATTTAAAAAAGAGCAATGTTTAAAAAAATCTTTTCTATCTTAGGGCTTCTCTGGGTGAATGGGCTTTTGGTGAGTTATTTTTTCAGTTCAGTAAAAAAGCAGTTTAATTAGAGAACCACCACTACCAGTGCTTTGCTTTTCAAGGACTGGCAACACATCCTCAAAGGCACGCTTTAGTTCCTAACAAACTTTGAGAATTTGCATTCATGTTAGGAGAAAATGTATGTATATTTTGATGGGCAGAGCTTAGCCTTTGATAAATTTTGCCACTCTTTTTCTTTTTTAAGTGTTTCAGTGATTTAGTGGTAAATAGGAAGTCAGGGGATGGTTCCAACACAATCATTTTATCTGTTCTCTGTCTAAACATTTACTAACTTCCCGAGCAGGAAAGTTACTCATCCTGTCTGAGGTGCAGTTTAGAATTAGTTAAAATATATTGCAGTGATGACCCATTTACCTTCATTTACAACTTGCTGAAGTTGCTTCTTTCTCCCACTATGGAGATGTCAGACCACCGTTGCACACAGCGTTGGTGTAAATACCAGAAGCTCGGTAGTTTCACAAGATTTAAATAAAACACCAGTGAAGTGTTTCATGCTTATCTGTCTATACTTTTTTTAACTGCAGTGCATCACTGGACATGCTGAATGTCTGCTTTGAAATCCCTTCTTTTCTATCCTTCAGAATGGTTTTCTCCAGAAGTAATACAAGGCTGTGAAATTTGATAAGGAACTTTGATAAAATGCAATTTAGAAGACTATCAACCTGGGGAATTGTCCACCTTATGCCCCCCTTTGATCTTCACTTGGTAGGAAAGAATGTTAATTCGGGTCTTCATGACGTGTTTGGCAGGTTATTATAGCTCTGAATGCGTGCTGCTCTTCCACTTTGAAATACACTTCCTTCTCAGTATTGGATATTAACAAACATTTAAATGCACGTATGATTTTTATTTTCTCATTTATACCATTTTTTATTTATTTTTCAGTTAATTTTTGATTCCTAATCCTAAAATCCATCAAGGATTAGCCTTACTTCTGCTTGGTGCTTGCATGTGATTTTTTTTTTTTTTTTCTTATACATAGTTACCTGAGAGTGAGGCGAGAGATACTACACGAAAGTTTACCCCTAAGCATTAACCTTTTGACTCCAAGCTGCTTCACAAAGGGTATTTTTATAACCAAGATTTACCTTTTTCTTGGAGGATTTTCCCCAGAGTCTCTTTCTAATCCTTCCCTTCAAAGCCAGCGGCACAGCCACACACATAGTTCCAGGCAGAACTGCGGGCAGCGATGGGTCTGAAGCCCTTCAAGACCGTTTCCATGCCATCAGGAGAGGATTATTCTGGAGGAACGGCCGTACGCTCCAGCACCCGCACAGCTCTTGGCCTCTGTGGTGCTTCCCACCGACTCGAACGCAGAGGCCAGCCTGTCTTAGCATCTTGTAGAAAAAATTACAGATTAGCTTGTCATGCTGTTTACAAGATGGGTCGCAGGCCTGCAGATCCGCGGCTGGGTTTTTCATCCCTTGCATGTTCTGGTGGCTATGCACAGAGGTCTGGAAATGTTAATGTGTCATTAACAGCTTTTATGCAGGAAAAAAGGAGGGGAACCTTAAAACAATTAGTTTTGTTCCGGAAATCCTATGTCTGAGAATTCCTGGAATAAAAGTTCATCAATTTGAGCGGATGTCACTCACAGAGCAAAGGCAATCATATAAATCTTGGGCTCAGTGCTTGCCAGTCACGCTGTCTGATCGTATGGCATCTTGCGGGAGGTCTGCCTTGACTCACTGTGTGAGGGCTTGGTGCAGGTAGCGCAGGTTTCTGCTGGGGTGTTATTTCCAGCGCCCTCAGATGCTCTTCTGTGCCCAAGGGCAGGGGAACACGCAAGGAACTGGTGGTGACATCAAGGGTCTCGTATTGAGGACCGCCCAGACAAAAAAGATGCCTGAATTTGCTGTGCAGCATGAAGTGCCTCCTATTTTTGTTCTACCTCTGCAGAGAACCCATAGTGATGGCTTTATACGGTTTCAGACTGATCCCGTGCCGTTCTCCGGGTTAGAGGACGTGCCTTGCGGGAAGGGATGCATCCTGCAACCCTGAGCTGTCAGAGTGAGGTGTGCAGCCTCGAGCAGCAAGGGACTATGCTGAGGCTGCTCTGAAGTGCGCTGGGAGCCATGCTGGTCCCAGAAAATCAATGACCCTGGACCCTAATCCTTCACCAGGACCATTTGGCTCAGAGGCAATCTACTCCCTTAAGTTTCAGGGTTATTTGGACAGCAACAGCATCCAAGTGTTTATTCCTTTTAAGTTAATGAACATGTAAATGAATATAAAAACACTAATAAATAAAAGGCAAATTATATTTTCCTAGCAAATTGAGCATGTTGCTTGTGTGTACTGAAGATTTAATAAACATGATTAAGTGTAGACAACCGCTAAGTGGCGAAAAGTTAGTCCTCAGGCAGAGGAGGCTTTGCAGCCTCCCCTTCTTTCTCAGTTTGTGTTTTGAAAACTGTACCGGTTCAGAATAGAAACTGCTGCAAAGCTCCCTTTTATTTTTACATCAAGATACACCAGTGATCTTCAAGGACATGTAGGGTTTTCCCGAGAAACACGGTAATCTGAGTACAACTTTGCCTCTAGGTGTAGCCCCGTAAGCTGCTCGGGGCTGTTTGTTTGCTAAGACATCTCCCACAAATATCCCTGAAACATTTGGTGTCTTAAAGAGCAGGGAAGCAAACCTGGTGGGGAAGGGGTCTTTCTTTGGGCAGTGCTCACCGGGTCTGCTCAAGGCCAGCGTCTGCACTGGGCAGTTCTGGAACAAATTATTCTCTGTATTTACTTGTCTGCCTTGATTATTGTATTTTGTCTCTTCGGTGGGACGGCAGAAAGAGGCCGACGTGGTGCCTGCTGTGATATGTATTATGTCTTCTAAACTTCCTTGGAAAATAGAAGTGCTAAAAACTTTGCCCATGTATTTATCTTACAGATACGTTCTGCAAATATACTGGCAAATACCTTTGATGTTCAGATTACTGTGACGACACAGGGCATCACACCCCTGTCCTCAGTGCCCCTGGAAAACTGCCCGGACCTGGCTGGGTGCAGGCAGCGCTCCGGTTGTCCTTGTGTTCAGAGGCCAGAACGTAGCCCCATTTCTTTCACACACCTGGACCGAGAAGCTCAAGTGACAGCTACCCACGTTGCCCGCGGGCATCAGGGCAGCCGCTCGTGCACCGCCCGGATGGTCCTTGCCCTCCTCTGGATGTGTCCTGCCGTACGGAGCGGGGACCCTGCCCCTGTCTCCCCGCTTTTTTCTTTCATCATCTTGGTGTAAATCTAAATAACGCAGCCGTGCAGGCAGCAGTCCTCTCCTTCCTCCTCTCCCTGATAAACGTGGTTAGACACAGTCTCCTTCATCGAGAATCAGTTCCGATTACATATTTACTGGCTTCCCACCTTGTACGAACAGCATCCCTTCCCATTCAGAAACCATTTTTGCAAGGAAGGTGTTAAAACCACCTATTCCTGAGACTCACTGACTGCTACGGTAATTATTTTCCTCTATCCAGGGAAATGCTGATTGGAATTATCACAGATATCTTTATATTTGATCAGGAAAGAGTAATATAATTTTCCTTCTCCTGATGCTTGGCATAATTATTCACAACCTTGCAAAACAGGTGTAAATTAAATCAGAAATGATCATACCAAGCCAGGTTGCCAACATACGTCAGCTGAGGATGCGGCCAGTGTGCGCGGGTGCAATTGCCTGCACGAGCACGTGGGGAAAATAGATCCCTTGATATAGCAGAAACTGTCGCTGGTTCTTGATCTGAATAAAGGGCATACACAGCTGCATGTGACAATGACAAAAGTCATATGCATTTAAAATAAATGAACTCTGCGATGAAGGTGGTTGCTATGGGTCTTATCCATCCTTCCCTTTCTGTTAAGGCAGCTTCAGGAACAAATTCAGCTCCAGGTGAAGTCGTTAAATGCCTTTCCATCGACCTGTGAAGATTTGGATCTGGTCTTAAGCCATCAAAAATTTAATCAGAAATATCATATCACAACTACATGGAACGTGACATTTAAAATTTCAGTAAATGCGGATTCCTCCAATATTAACTTTATTTTCCCTCTGCTAGATAACCTCTTCAAACCAAAGGAAAGATTCATTCCAGAGAAGGAGATGCATATGAGATCTAAAAGGTACAAATCGCTTTGCTTTAGAGTTCACCGCGAATCGCTGCCATCTCACGCCTGAGGCAGCGTATTCCCACATCATCTTCATAGCGCTGGAAGGTTGTTCGGCCACGCTGCTTGCCATGCTTTTGTGCAACGCTCGTGTTTTTCTTCCACTGTATCAGCTGGATACATTTGGGTCAGCCCTGCCCTTTCTTCCAGCGTCCTTTTTCTAGCAGTTTCAGATGGCATGGGGTACCCATGGTGTGAGAACTAAGTCCCTGAGAGGCACCTCATGCTGGACCTTCAAAAATGTAAGCAGTACAGTCACTCTGGGGCTTTTTTCATCCTGATTATGGCACCTAGTGTGGGAATTACAGCTGGCACCTATTACAGCAAAGCGTTAGAAGTGTGGCGTCTGACCTTTAACTGCATTGCACTTTACGCCGTCATTTACAGCAAGGAAAGCTGGAAATGGCTACCATGCAGAATTCACCCTGTTTTTAACCGTGCTTGAGATGTGTCCCATTTCTCTTCTCCAAAATACAATCTCCTGGCTGAGTGCAAGCCAAAACAGGCTGCTTCAAGAACTCGGTATTGCAAAATAGCAGGAGGAAAAATGAGAACTAACAGGCGTCGTATGCATGCAAAGAACAGGAGTGCTGCGAAGGAAGGTCCGCAGGAAGGTTTCTTTTCAAACCCCTGGGAATTTTATCATTGACTTCAATGGAAAAAGATCAGACCAAAAGTCACCTTTCTGAGGGCAACTCACGTTGTTTTTAAAATAGACACATTATGTTCTCCTTGGTAAAAAAGGTTCCTAATGACAGTGAACAACTGTTAACAGTCTACAGTCTTATAATGATGGGTTTCTTATATTTTAGAAAAATACTTGAAAATAATTGCTTGGTATTAATTTGGTGACATAAATATAAAAAAAGTGTACAGGCCAGATTCTGCTTTGAATTATGTTGCTATAAATTGAAACCAACTCCACTGAGCTTGTTAGAAGCTACTCCAGAATTACGCTGCTGCATCAAGATAACCTGATCCTGTCTCTTTCTTTACTTTTTAGTCCAAAATTAGAAGTGTTTTTCAGCAAGTCAGATTTTATATAAAAACATTATCATTAATAATTTATAATTCCCATGCCATAACTCTAATTCACATACTTAGAGATGCCCATTAATGACAAGTATTCCATTGAAGGCAAACCTTTCCTATAAGAAAAACAAATTCTTTGCAAGTCCCAGGGGCGACGTGTGAAGTTACCTTTCTAAATTCATTCCAGGATTTATGACAATTTACCTGAAGTAAAAAAGAAACAAGAAGAAAAACAGAAACGGATCATGACCCAGAGTAACAGACTGCGTGTTGAGATCTTTAAAAAGGTAAGGATGCACTCTGAATGCCAAGCACAGATTTGTAACCCTTCTTTAGCTGTGAAAGGAGTCCGTAGAGGCAGCACCTGCCTGGAGAGCCCACCCTAAACATGTGCAAACCCTGAGAGGAAAGGATGTTTTTTTAAATCTTGTCCTCGGGGCTAGACACTTCTTTAAACTTGAATTAACAGCTGAACCTTGTATTGGAATTAGGCTTTTTTTTTTTTTTTTTCCCTTGTCTTTTTTTTGAGCAACGTAGCCAGAAGATTTGAGGTGCTAATACCACTCACCTACACTACTACTGAGGATTTCTACACTTATAGACATCTCATGTATTTTAATGGTATCTTAAGGCTGTTCTGCATTTTTTTTTTCCCTAGCAATTACTGGACCAGCTCCTTCAAAGAAACACAGAGTAACAAAGGATTCTCTTGCCCATCATCCTAATTGGATCTTGGATGCCTTTGACTGCTAGATAAGCCATAAAATTTACTGTTATCTCAATTATCTGGAGGTATTTTTCTTGTCTTTGGCTCTTTATATACAGAAAGATCATTTAAATTTCAATTGAAATTTTAAGTAACTTTCAAGTAATCAAAAACAGTCTAAGAGGGAACACAGCTATTTCAGAACATTACCTTTTGGTCAGTTTACCCAGAGGAAATAATTTTAAGAATTTTTAATGCAAATACTGAATTACAGTGGTATTATTTATCTTAATCTTTCAAAAAGTGTATGTCTCTGTAGCAATAGAACTGGGTTTATAAGACCTGGAAAACTTATTTCTCTGAAGTATTCTCTTAATTGCTTTCCTGTGAGTTAAATCCTTGAAGTAAAGAAAAATGAGTATTATTATTTGTTATGTTTAGAAACTAGCTGAAATAGCATTACCACGTAATCATAGCAGCAGCAGTTTCACATTAGTACTTAACATACCAAAAGGGACCAATATTTTAGCTCTCTGAAGAACTCTATTCCTGTTTATATAGTGAATCTACATAGCAAGCTTACCTGTTAAAGAGCAATATTTAAAAATTTGATTATAACACTGTTTTTTGTGTTTTTCACTGTAATATATGTTTTACTCCACTTCTGTGAGCATTAACTATTTATAGAAATGGCATATTAAGAAGTGGTGCCAAGAAGTATGTTTGCATCAAAACTTCAGAACTAAAACCATCTGTAATGTTTCCTCCAAAAATATTTAAATCTTTATTTGTACATTTTGGAAGTAAAAACAACCAGCTTACAAACCAATGGAGTTTATTTATGGAATAAAATATGAATATAATATTGATCCAACTGCTATGTTTTTATTCGGTACTGTTAAATATAGCACAATTATTGAACCTTCTTGAGAAGTCATGCCTTTCTATGCCACAAATCCTATGGTAAAAAATATTGCCCATAAAAATCATTGCAAGTGTTAACCTCTGTTGCATGAATACTCAATTGAGTGTGTTTGAATGAGGCTGGAATTTGGCCTTTGATATCTATGCTTTATTTTTCCGATCTAGCCTGAGATGTAAGGTCAGGTTTTTTGGAAGAGGGATGTCTGTGAGCTGGGCTTTGGCCACTGAGATAGCCTCCAGCTGTGTGACCTGTGCTGGACGCAAGGAACCTAGTTATATTTTGTGCTTTGACTGTCTCTGTTAGATTACTTTGCCTCTTTGTGTTTCAGCTTCCCAGTTTGCAAAGCAGGATTAATGACGTTAATTTTTGCTCACAGAGAAGGTATTTATTGAACAGATATATTTCATTCCAGATAGGTAATTTTAAAAACTCGTCAATTAGTTCAATACATTTCTAGAAGGCATGTAAGGTAAGGTAATGCTGGCTCTGAGGAAGAAACTGCCAGGGTTCTTCCCCAAAAAAAGTCTTTTTAACCAAGCAAGCAATGCTGTACTGGGAGCTGAAGTCAGGGCTGGACCACACATAGCTCCAAGTAGAACTTGTAAAAGGGACTGGAAGAAGCAGCATCCTCCAAGCTTTGCAGCTCAGCTGTGTGGTAGATCTGCTCTCCTGTGGGTTCATTGATCCCTCTTGCTGCTCTCCAGGAAAAACATGCTGCCTGCCTCAAACAGGAGGGCCTTTCTCTCTCCAGTGGACTTCTGGGTCTCCACCACAGAGTGATAAATTATAGCTGTAAACACACCCCCACACGTGGTCTCCTAGACTGAATCTGAAAGATTATCTTTCAAGCTTTCTTCCAGTTATAGCTCACTACAACAACTCGAGACATTTCCTATAGAAGTCAGTGCCAAAATCCCCTTTGATTTCAGTAGGAACTTAGCATTTTTCCCCCTTGGTTCCTTAGTCTCTAGTTCCTTGACTTCAGACAAATGCAGCTTTGGTTCATCAAGTTTGTACCCGTCAGGAGAAGTATTTCCTGCACACATCCATAGAGAAATACTATCTACATTTAAGCCTGCTTTACTGTACACATTCAAGCCTGCTTGTAGTCTTACCCTAGAGCCACAGCAAGACATTTTGGTATGGAGACAAGACGTTTGGTGTTTGATGTCATAGAATCATAGAATCATAGAATCATAGAATCATCTAGGTTGGAAAAGACCTTTAAGATCATCCAGTCCAACCATTAACCTACACTACCAAGCCCACTCTAGACTAATCAAGGGTAGACCAGACTAAACCATATCCCGAAGTGCCACATCTACCCGTTTTTTAAACGCCTCCAGGGATGGTGACTCCACCACCTCTCTGGGCAGCCTGTTCCAATGCCTGACCACCCTTTCCGTAAAGAAATTTTTCCTAATTTCCAGTCTAAACCTCCCCTGGCGCAGCTTAAGCCCATTTCCTCTTGTCCTATCGCTAGCTACTTGGGAGAAGAGACCAACACCCACCTCACTACAACCTCCTTTCAGGTAGTTGTAGAGAGCGATAAGGTCTCCCCTCAGCCTCCTCTTTTCCAGGCTAAACAACCCCAGTTCCCTCAGCCGCTCCTCATAAGACTTGTTCTCCAGACCCTTCACCAGCTTCGTTGCCCGCCTCTGAACACGCTCCAGCACCTCAATGTCTTTCTTGTAGTGAGGGGCCCAAAACTGGACACAGCATTCCAGGTGCGGCCTCACCAGCGCCGAGTACAGGGGGACAATCACCTCCCTGCTCCTGCTGGCCACAGCATTCCTGATACAAGCCAGGATGCTGTTGGCCTTCTTGGCCACCTGGGCACACTGCTGGCTCATGTTCATCCATGGGGACCTGGATGGATTGCAGAGGAGCACACAGCAAGATACTCACAGCCTGGGTAAGGAATGTCCCCTGGCATGGGACTGACACCTAGAGCCACCGGGAGAAGAGGGCCCCAAAACTTTTCCCACTTCTTTGGCAGAGCAGAAGAGCCAGAGCCTTCCTCATTGGGAGTAAAAGAGTATTTTACTTTGAAATCAGACATTTGTCCTGCAGGATGCCTAGGAGCTAAAGGGACATGGGTTAATCTAACTGCCATAATATACCCCTCCTCCATGCCCATACAATTTTATATACATATGTAAATGCATGTAAATATATATGCATGTTTGACATGCTTCTTGCTGTCTGGCTGGGAATATCAGAGGAGCTGATCCTCCTTAGAAATCATGGCAGCCAGGTCTTCGTGAGGAAATGAACCACGTGAGCAACTGGGATGAACGGCAGAGGGTTGGTGTCACAAGGCTCAGCCTGGTTTCTACCCCTTGGCACCCCCATTGGCATGCTGACCAGGGCAGGACACTTCTCAGCTGACCTGGCTTCCTCTCATTTCTGCCAACCATCCTTGGAGACAGGGTACCGCACTGGCCTGCTGCATCCCCACCTCCCCTGGCACATGAGTAACTCCACCTTCTCACAGACTTAAAGCTGGTGCACGATTCACAAAATCTTTTGGCTTTGTTGAAGGGTTATTTCCAAATGGTTTTATTTTCTCTAAATGTAATTTTCCAAATCTGCAGGACAAATATGCGGCAACTTGAGGTGGAAATTCTCTTGTATATATAAGCTTGGGAGTATACCTACTGAGCAAAACATGTAACACAAGTCGCTGTCGGGGAATGTTTTACATGATATGAAACCTTTGCTTCAGAAAACCAAAAATGATCTCTGTTGCAAACCTAATTTATCTTTCTGGGCTTCAGAAAAGAAGGTATCTGGTAATGAATCCAGCAAACAATTCTGTCATTCATTTCAGCTCTACAATCCAGTCATTGTAACAGAAAATAGACTGTACAGGAAAATGTTACTTCAGAAAAACATGAGCCTCACAGACTTAGCCCTCTACAAGCAGGCATCAACTTAATGAAGTTTAGAATTAGGAAAAAAATTGGCGGAATTTCACTTTGGACTTGCAGGCGTTTCAAAGTAAAGAGTGCATTTGCCATCGGATACTACTTGACACAGAAAATTCCCCAACCTAAATTGGAGATCACTCATACTTGTCAAATACTGGAATTTTCCTTCTTGTTAGATGCTGTTTGAGTTCAGTTTCTCTGGCTGTCGGCCCACGCCCTGTGTCTTCAGGAGGGACACATTTTCCTGCTGGTACAACTAGACAAGGATTAACATCTCTGGTAACAGGCATTGCCATTTGTTCCCCATCTCGCTGGGTCATGTCTTTTCACACGGCTGATTTGTAAGTGCCCGCAGAACAGCATTTAATAACGAATGTTGGTTGGGGTGAGATGTTGAGAAGGTTTCGGGGCGTTAAGGCACGGAGCCTACGTAGGCTTGCCAACACATTGACTTGGCATTCTCCTTCTGAAACAGAAAGCCTCTCAGTAGGGTTGAAGTTTTGCATTATTCAAAATGGAGCCCACACGGGGAACGGATGGTGTTTTAGGTGTGCAAGGTACGGTGTTTGTTTGCTTGCTGGCATCATTAATTTCATTTGACCGAAATACCTCATTAAGGGTTGAAAGTCATTGCAACGTAAAGCACTGAGGGTTACAGTATTCTGGGGATTTATTTTAAACCCAAATATTTTCCTGTATATGTGTATGCAAGTCATTAGTTACTTCTCCAAGTTTACTCAGCTGGTCAGATAGATGAGGAGACTGTCTGGGTAAGACTTTTTAGGAGTTTTGTTGTTGAGTATCTGGGATTGGTCATGTTAGTGTAATGTTTTCTGTGAGAGAGCTGATTTACAAGGAAAACAACACAGAAAAGCAGGGATAAAGTTTCTGGCAGCTCTCTCCAGAGGAAACCATTCCCCGAGACATCCACCGCAGTAACAGCTCCATGGCTAAAAATACCCCAGCCTGCCTCGTCCGTAGAGATGTTTGCCCCTCTGACTTCAGGCACAAAAATGCCTGTGTGCTTTGCTGGGTGGGTAATTATCTTTCCAGGGGCATTGACTGACCACTTGTTCACTGATGGAGTAGACCAGTACACAGGGTTGTCCCACAGGGTCATATTTCATCAAGCTCCATGACTGAAGCCTGTGTAGTTTATTACTCACTATGCTTCTTGCTGAGCTGGGTTACGGCCGGCTGGATGCCTGTGAGATGCCCTCACTGTGCTCCCCCGCTGCCGTGGCCACAGGTCAGCATCAGGCAATGGGGGGTTGAGAAGTCCCACCCCCAGCTGGGACCGTTCCCAATCTGCAGTCTTCTGAATCAAAGATGATTAGAAAGCAGACGCACAAACTAAAATGCAAGGACACCCAAGCGTGAAAACAGATTAGGATAAAAGAAGATACTGAAAACCTTTCAATTATACTCTAGGCGGAGAAGCCCAATTTATGTATGAAAATATTTATTAATCCTTGATTTAAATATGCATCTACTGATATCACAGTCACAGAAATCCTCATCCAAAACCCTTATTCAGAGGGAGGAGCCTGTGTTGCTCGTTGAGAGGTGCTAGTCTGCCTATTGGTAATGGCGTACAAGTGTGGTGGGCTCTGAAAGTGAAACTTGTCTCCCAGCTGAGCTACCTGGAGGTGTTTTGGGAGGCTGTGATTTTCTCTCTTGCAATGCCTGTTTAGCTATGACAAAACTGTTGAAAGAAGCATGCCATGTGAAAACACATTTCTATGTCAAAAATAAAATGCATCCTCTTTTTTAAGTCAAGCATCTCACTTTTCCTAGTTCTTCTTGGCTCCATACCAAAGCTGCAGGAGGCAGAATTACTTAATACTCATTTTAGATGACCCACAGAATAAGATAATGAGGTGTATCATCTCCCTACCAGCTGCAGAGTGATTAAAAAAAAAAAAAAAAGGAAGAAACTGCACAAATGTGCTCATGGTACACACAATTATATAAAATTAGTAAACAGGAAAAGTGCAATGA